CCAGTATTCTTGCCTTTGTCTTACCCCTAACTCTCTACAGTATCTTTCTTTCATAACTCTTCCATCGGATGCTCTCCACAGAAATCCTCAGGGGGTTTCAGCGGATACCCTTCACCTTCTCTCCTCCACATTAGCCCACATTTTCTCCTCTCTCAGGCGTTACATATATATGGTTTCTTTGTTGTTGGGACCTTATAGGTAGGGATGCAGTATTGGCTCGAGTCAATTTCCCTCAACATATATCAGCAACTTGCATCGTGCACATTTTCTGAGTTATGTCTTTGATATAGTACCAACCCTTATGACCTTTGTAGCCCATTTGTTTCAGTTAAAGCCTCATATGACACCTATTCCTGTTTCCTGTCCTTCATCTTCCCAACCCTTACCAGTTTCTACTAAATGGGTTACTTCTTTTTATCGATTTCCCCAACATCATAACATCTGTTGGCACCAGTCCGGTGGGAACTTGACTATTGAAGTTTTTTCCTTGATAGCATCACTTTTTCAATGATCAATGGGTGATATGTGTTTTGTCAGAAGGATTCGTTATCCAGTTTCTTTTCACACTTCCTGTTTCTCCTTGCCCCATTTCCTTTCCTCCTCCTCGAGATCCCTTGACCTGCCAATGTTTGTCAGAGGTGGTTTGAGATTTGCTTTTGCAGTGAGCAATCGAACTGGTCCAGCATCCTTATAGGTTTTTTATTCCCTTCTATTTTTTTCCCCCCAAGACAACCGGGGATTGGTGGCCGATCATCAATTTATCTTGCCTCAACCTCATCATTGCACTCCCCAAGTTCACCGTGGAGTTTTTTCTCACCCTGAGATAGGCGTCTTCCCCATGGACAAATATGGATGTTTCCAATGCTTATCTCTACATACCAATAGCACATCTGTCTTGACATTATCTTTGGTTTGTTCATCTCGGGGTGGTTTACCAATTTTGGGCCCTCCCCTTCAGACTCGTCTCAGCTCCTTATGTGTTTTTCGCAGAGTCCGGGCTTTTGCTTGTCATCTTCATGCTCTGGGGATGCAATTTCATGATTACATGGATGATCAGAAATTGGCCATTCGTACTCACCAACTCCTTTCTGTGGTAGCTTGGGTGGGCTAGTGATCAAATTGGAGAAGTCATTCCTTTGACCCACTCACTAGCTCTTCCATTTGGGTCTTTTTTGACACCAATATCAGTCATGCTCTGCCTTCTCCTTTATGTTTTTGTTCCATGGAACTTTTAGTTCATCATGCCCTCTCAGCTCAATCATTTACTGCTCATGAGGTTCTATTGCTTTTGGGGATGTGGTCCTCCATGACTGCACTGGTCCCTCTCGTTCCTGTCCATACGAGTTCCCTGCAGTGGGTACTTCATGAATGATGGAACCTTGCTAGGGATTCTCTTTCCACCACCATTTTCCTTCCTCCTTCCCTGTGAGACAATCTGCAATGGTGGCTGGACAAAGCCTATACGTCAACAGGTGTGCCACTTCCTTCCCTGCATCTAGGTCTACATCTTTTCATGGATGAATTTCTTCAAGGATAGGGGGCATGGGTCAATCACCAGGAAGCTTTAGGCTTTAGGATGAAACCATCCTGCATATCAATGTTCTCGAACTTCTAGCAGTACATCAGGAATTACATCACTTCCTTCTTTTTGCCTATCATTGTCTGGTGGTGGTTCATTTGGACATCTCTATGGTGGTGGCATATATCAACCACCAAGGGGGCATCTGGGCCAGAGATCTATGTTTTTAGACATCGGATCTATTATACTGGGTCCATGCACATCACATTCCTCCTATCACATGTCATGTGCCAGGTGCTTTCAATCTAGTCATGGAATGTCTTTCCTTGTCGAGTCCTCCTGATTGCACCCTATTGGTTGGTGCAACATTTGTTTCCAAGGTTACAATGTCTGCTCCTATTACCACCTGTTACTCCCTTCTTTGTCAACCTCGATCCCACATTCTACATCCCAATCTCTTCGTCCTGCATCTTCATGCTTGGCTTTTGTCCAGTCTTTGGATAGATGATCCGGTTTCACATGCTGAGTTGCCTCCATGGAAGTATACCAGCGTAAGTGGAAAGTCTTCAGCTGTTGGTCTGCTAATAGTGGATTTCCGGTGGGCAAGCCTTCTGTGGGTCATGTGGCAGAATTTTTCACTTTACTTTTTGACTTTCCGTATATCGGGCGGCCCTATCTCATACCTTCTGTTTTTCCTCATACTGTACTCATGCATTCCTTTCAGATTCGGAGGCCTCCAAGGCATCCTGCCCTTTCAGACTGGGACATTAATGTGCTCCTCCATTCCTTCACTTTACCCTGTTTGAACCACTTTCCTCGTGCTACCTGTTTCATCTGTCCCTTGAAACATATTTTCTTCTTCTCTTGGCCTGGAGATGTTGACAGTTTGATTTCTTTGCTACTGATGTTTCACATACGATTTATCATCCTACCTGTCTTCTCTTTTATCCCAGTCATTCCTTTCTCCCCAAGATCTCAGCACCTCGGGAGGGTTGTTCATCCTTTTCTCCTATTTCCTTCATTTTTACCCTAGATCAAATTCAGATAGGCTTCTATGTCTGGTCAGGGATCTTTATTGTTATATAGCTTGAACTGCTACTTTTTAGGGTACATGCAACCAACTTTTTATCAATCGGCAATCCTCCTCCCTTCGTGATCTTTCACCTTCTACCCTTATGAATTGGGTCTGCCTTTTGGTTTGTTTGGCCTACTCTTCCTTGCCTTCTTCCTCCCATACCTTTTTTCATGTTTCCTCCCATCAGATCAGATATCTCACCTTTTCCCTGGTTTCTCATTCTTGTCATCCAATGGAAGAAATTCTACAATCCAGCATGTGGAGCACTCCCTCGAGTGGAGTATGGGAGTCCTTACCACATCCAGTTCCAAGCTGTTGAGGTGGTTGACCACAAGAGGTGCCCTCCTGAATGCGTTCCACAAGGAAAAGGTTAGAACCTTTCATTTGAGAGTAGGGCGGTGGTGTTCTGCTGGTGTAGATGTGAGAGGAGTTGAGCTGTTACCTTGCTGGTTGACATGGCATCCTGATCATGTTTACACTACAAAATTGGAGTTGAGCCATCTCTTTCCTTGATGATGTGGCCTCCTGACACCATTTACACAACCACTGGGGTTGAACTGTCACCTTCTGGTTGATGTGTCCTCCTGAAACCTATTACACACTCACTGGAGTTGAGCTGTCATATTCCTGGTTGATGTGGCCTCCTGATACTACTTACACAACCATTGGTGTTGAACCGTCACCTAACTGATACATTTTACATAAACAATGGAGTTGAGCCATCGCAATTGCCTTTCACCCTTTCGATTGGAAGACCTCATCCTACCTTCTCATGGAATTTGGTTTCCAGTGTAGATGTTTTGGATTAGAGTGAACCATTCAACATAAGTCCTCTCATGAGTTTGGGTTGTCTATCTTCCTCCCCTAATTGCTCCATCTTTGTCTTTGGTCACAGCAGTAGTATGTGGGATTGTTCCAGTGCTATCCTTGACTATCCCTCATTCTCTTGTTATGGGAATGTTATTGCCTTTGGGTGGTGCTGGCCTGTGCCACAGTTGGAGGAGTTGATTCCATGTGATAAACATCCTTTTGATACTAGATGTCAGTTACCGGATCGATAGATCGGTGATGATCCTCGTGGCATACCCAGAAATTGATGTGGGTCTTAATCACAGATTCGTGGGTTTGAGGTGAAGATGGTATAATCCTCATCCTACCTTCATGTGGATTTTGGTAACCAGTGGGAGGTTTAGAATGTAGATGACTTGCGAGTACGATCTGCAGCGCCTTAGCCACTGTACACCTCACATATTCCACTTTTGTGCATTACACAATCTACACATGGGTAAAGAGTATACCTGGCTCAGAAATGGTGCAGATTCCCATTTATTATCTTTGGATATATATATATATCTCATTGTTAGGGGGTATCCTTTGGACACTTTTGGGGGTACTTCTTTCATTCCCTCCCACCTGTCCCTCCTTATCAATGTGGCAATCTAGCTAATCGTGTGAAGAGAGGTAAGTACTGTATCGTAAGTCATAATTTTCCTATACTGAATATGTATTTCCGATAGGTACGTACCTCCACTCACCCTTCCTCCCCACTTCTTCGGTGCTCACACCTCTGCCAGACTTCAAAGTGAAGGTTTGCTAAAGGATTGTAGAGGGAGTCACATATGTCACTTGAGCATGTCATACTACTATTGGTTAAGAGATGACACATGATGATTTGCATGAGAGACATGTTGGAATATAGTAATTCCAACATGGGGGAGAGCACAAGGATTGTGGTACATGTAAAGAAAAAATTCGCATATAGAGGGCAGCACTGAACAAGAATAGCTAAGTACCTATCGGAAACACATTTTCTGTATAGGAAAATTATAAAGCATGTAAAAGTATTTTTACGATGAATAACCATCTTCAGCTTTATTATTAGATCTGTCTTTGATTTTTCACCAGGATCACCAATCCATTTTTTTAAACTTCTTCTCCAGTACCAATATTATTTTGTGTCCACACAAAAAAAATGCTAGAAGAAAGTTTTGGTAGAAGTAAAGTTACTTTTGCAAGAGAATGCTTTTTCCTTAAATAAATGCTTACTAACTCTGAAATTTTGAAATTCATCTTGGAAAAAATATGCTCTCAGGAAACTACGAGTAGTTAAAATTTAAAAATAATAAAATGTGATTTTTTTTTACTGTTTGTTTGAATATTTCCCAAACTACTTTTAACAAACACTATAAACTTAAAAAATAAATATTCTTATATTGTGGTATTAATATGTCATGTGTATGCTTTTACAGATTGTTTTAGTAGAACAGTTTAATTCTAAACTTGTAGTATACTGTTCTTTAAATGAGTATACATGGGGATGAATTGTTTTACAGACAAATGATTGAATTAGGTTAAAAAGTGAACACACATATCTGGTAATGTTTATTGTAGTTTTGTTTTTTGTAGGAAACTTATGATAACATCCCTGTAGAAAGAAGAATTGTTTTCCTTTTGAATTCTGTGTGTAACAATGGAAATTCAGAAGAGGTGAGTTTAATGAGTTGTACACATGTGATTAGAGGTGATTTACAGGACACTAAAATGGTAAATTTTGTTTCAAAATAACCATTTTAAATAGTTACATATTTTGTTGTTGTCTAACAGATTTAGATATTCATACACCATGCATACTAGATTATTTGGTATTCTCATGGGGAAAATTCTTCCTAGGATATTTTGGATATTTTATTCACTGCAAGCTTAGAAATACACAAATTCCTATTTAAAAAAGAAGAGTAACAATTTAGGTGGCTAGTCCTAAAACTAGATTAGGTTATCTTTTTCAGAAGTGATATTACAATTAAGGAAGTTAAGGTTTGATTAATACATTAAACTTGTTTCTGATAAACATTGGTGAAAAATATATATATTTTTATTGCGATTTTGCAAATTATCTACCTACTTATAACCAAATAAAAGTAATGCTAACAGTTTAACCTTCTTGCCTGGGGCATCTCTTTCTGTGCATGTCACAAGGTTTTAGTGAGTTATATTCAAAATTTAATTAAACTACATTCTTTTCATTGGATACCAATAAATATAGCGTAAAAATGTAGCTAATAATCCACATTTTAATAGTATACAAGTTTTAAGTTTTTACTTTTATAAGGCAATATAAAAATAAAATGTAGAATTTCCCCTAGTGTGAGAATTGTGACATTTTCTCTCTAGACATCTTCTTTAACGTATTTATCACCCCTTCAAGAAGTCCAAAGTTTAGCATAAATTGCTTATTATAATTCTTCATTGCTCAGGTAGTGCATTATTTTTATAGCCTTCAAAATCTTATTTAGTTTCAGAGCCATGAAATAGACAACCAGATCTCTTGCTACTCCCACCAGTCATATCACTTTAGGAACTGCCAATAGTTCTCTTTACCGGTCAGTACTAAATTATTTATAACCAATAGAAAACCAGTTTTCAATCTATCAAATGACATATATTACATTGTTTTCTCTAAAGAGAATTTTCAAATTAGTTTTCAGATCAAGGTTGATTCCAATGGGAAACACATCAACGAGCTTATTTGCTTAACTAGAAAGCCAGAAAAATTGTGATAGTTATGGGACATTGTCTGCTTTTTGCACATTATTATTTCTTTTTTGGTGCATTATTTAATTAAATAAAAAATTTAGTGCAGTACTATAATTAGTATAAAAAAGTAGGATTAAGTGTCATCAATAGTCAACATAAAAAAAAAAGATCCAGGTAAATAATATTTTTCTTTTTTTTGTGTATTCTTTATTTATTATTATAAAAGTAACTAAAATGTACAAATAGGAAACTTTTTGTTAGTTAAAGTTAGATTAAGTGAAATAAACAATAATAAGATAATAAAATATTTTCATGAGATATGCTCGCAAGTAGCTCGTTTGCCAAGTGATTTACGACTTATAATAGCATGATTAGTAGTTAGACAGGGTTCAAAGGGCAATAAAACAATAAAATTTAAGTATAAATAGATGTATACTGTTATGAATGTAAAGCTATTTAGGATATATGTAGTTTCATATTAGAATTTGAAGTAATTCTAGAAAGAGAAAAAGGAAACTTACATTTATTTTGATTTTTTTTGGTGGTTGGTGACCAACATTGTATAAAGTTAAGGTAGAGAAAATAACAGATAAAATATAGTTTTTATTGGAAAAAAAATGTTTGAAATTTATTTCAGAGGTTTTAGAGATTACACAAATAAAATTTGAGGTTTTTGAGTTGAAGAAAAGTATTTTTAATCTTAATGTGGAAATCACTTAGCACTTGGACTAGTATATAGAAATACTAACTGTTCATGGACAAATCTTTAGTAAAATACTTCATTAAAAAAAATTTTTTTTTGTACAAAAGACATGTAATGGTTACTAAAATTCTGCCAAATTTTGTGAAGATACACAAAGTGTATTAACTCTCTCAACATGGGCTTGGTCAATTTGACTGACCATATGACCTCTTTGTACTCGTTTAAAGTCTTTATAGATTTAATACTTCTAACTTTCAATATCGTGTGAATATCTTCACAAAATTTAGAAGTCTTTCAGTTAATATTACAAGTCTTTCACATGCAAAAAAAAAAATATTTTTAGTGAAGTATTTTTAATAAAATAAAGATTTGTCCATGAATATATTGAGTATTTGTTTTGAATAGTCTGTGTGAAAAGTAATTTTCATGTTAAAATTAAAATAACTTTTCCTCATCTCAAAAATCTCAGATTTCTTTTGTGTAATCCCTAAAACCACCTAAATGCATTTCAAACGTTTTTTTCAGTTAAAACTTATTAAGTTATCCGTTATTTTCTCTATCCTATCTCAAAATGGGATCGGTCAATTCGACCAACCTCGTAACCACAAAAAAATTCAAAATAAATTAAATTACCCCTTTTTTTTCTAGAATGACTTCAAATTGTAACAAGAAATTATATTTGTTTATCCTAAGTATCTCTAAGTTTGTAACAGTATACCTCTATTTATAATTACATTTTATTGTTTTATTGCCCTTTGAACCATTTCTAACTACTATCTGCACCATTATTAGTTGTAAATCACTTTGGGAAAGTGCATCTCACATTACGCTAACGAATTACATTACCCATGAGCTACTATGATCTGCTTGCTTGTGCCACATGAAACATTTTTATTATAATATTATTAATATTTATTTTACATAATCTAATCTTAACTAACCTAAAAGGATCCCTATTTTTATATTTTAGTTACTTTTATAATTAGATATAAAAAATAAACATGAAAAACAAGAAATAAAATACCTAACCAATCTTCTTCTTTTCTTGCTGTTGATTGTTGAAGAGAATTTACCATAATTTTTATACAAATGATAGTAATGTACTTAATATTTTTTATTTAATTAAATAATGCAACAAAGAATATAGATTAGTAACATGTAAAAAGTAGATAAATTCCCTTACCCCTCAAAACTTTTTTGGTTTTCTAACTATGTGATCAGAAAGTTGTTACAAATTCATCCAAGCTAGGGAATGATGTTGGTACTCTGAGTGATATTGACATTTAACTGTTCAGAACATAACGTTATACAATACGTCATTTGATAGATGAAAATCTTGACTTTCTATTGGTTATAGGTAATATATAATTAAATGTAAGAGAGAACTATTAATGAATTGTGAAAGAGAGGATGTGGCAGGAGGGGTCTGATTTTCTATTTGATAGCTCTGTTACCAAACAAAATTGAAGGCTATAAAAATTATGGTTTGTTTGAGCAATAACAATTTTATAGAGAGTAATTTATGTTTTACTTCGTACTTTTTTGAGGGTTGGTGGATAAAATAGTAAAGATGACATGCTAAGAGAAAATGTGTCATGTGGGTCACATTAGGGGAAATTCAGGATTTTTTTAAACATTGCTTTGTAGAATTAATAACTTAACTTGTATACTATTACAATATGAATTATTAGCTAAGATTTTATACTATTCCAATTGGTATAACATAAACAAAAAGTAGTTTATAAAATTTTGAATGTAAGACACTAAAACCTTGTGTTGTGCAGTAAAGATAACTGTGGTGATAGGGTTAAAAGTCGTAGTATGGTAACTATAATGAGGCTATGAGGTCAGTTGATTCAACCAACTTTGTACCAAAAGAGTTAATGAAGAATAAACACTACAGTCTTCCAATACAGTAACAGTGTTTTCTGCTAATATCTTTGTCTTCACTATTTAAAATTTATATTTTTTTGGTAGTTCTTAATTTCTTAAATAGTTACTAGATATTACAATCCACATAAAATATAATGTACAAAACAGATTTGCTAAAAATATTCTGATTTATATTACACTTAGTCAAATGCCCACTTTTTTTCCTCATGCCTTATAGCTGGTGCTTGAAATATTTTAGCAAATTATATGTCCAGTAAATAATTTAAACCAAGATTTTGAATAACCAGTGATAAATGAAGAAACTGTTAGCAGTTAGATTTTGTGATTTTAATCCTATGTAGGAATTTGGTTTTATTTGTTTATAGTTCAGTTTTGGCATGTTTATGATGATGTTTCCATACGCAAAACTTAAATTTAAAAAACTTTTTAGAAATAATTTTTATAAGACATCTAATATTTTAATATAGATTTAAATCTTTAAAACATGGGTAATAAATAAAATAAAAAATATTATAACAAATAATCATTATGCACCTTTGAAGATTTTGCATTAACCTTATTCAGACTGCAGAGCACCTTTCACATGTTGAGTTTACACCTGCATATCAATTTCAAATTTAAGTAAAAATAAAAATTGCTACTATATACATACGTACATACAAAAATTCTAACTATTTCAACAATTTTTAACTCAAAAAATATATTTCAGGATTCCTATTTAGTCATTTATTTGGTGTAATTTGCAAAGTAAAATGAGAAAATTTTTTCTCATTTTTGTGAAGCTCTAAGTCTTGCCTATAAACAAAACATTTTTTTTAATCATTTTCTGCCCATCTCAAAATATATTTTTGTTTTCTAAATAACTATCGTCTCTTGAAAATATAATTATCCATGTTTTATTTCTTGCATGATTTTACTTATGTTTTTCCTACACTGTTATGATTCTACAGTATGTGATCTGAACAACTACTAACAAAACTCAACTTTGAAAATAGCTACAGGCACAGTTCAAATACCATTGGATAAAGCAGATTATAAACTATTTCTGTCAAAGTAGAGTGAATAAGGTAGTGCGAGAAGTATTTTATGTTTTCTAGGAGTTTCTGGACAGAAAAATATTAGAAACTTGTGGGAAGTTTAGAAGATTAAAAAGCAAACTGCAGATCTGGGAATTTTTTTATAGTTTGCTTAGACATTCATTTCTGAGAACGTTTTTGTGGTAAATTATATGTTTAAAAAAGTGTGGAAAGTTTCTTTTTAGGTTTAGCAAGAATGGTAGCCAATGGTAAAATTTCCAATGAACCAAATATTATTCAATATTATTGTTAAGTTTATAATGCTCAAACAATGCACTTAAATAAAATAACTTGTTATTTATTTTAAAAAAAACTTGCATCTGAATTGATTTCGACCAAGAATATTGTTACCTACTGTTGCCTAGCTCAAATTGACACCATTTTGAAAAGTAAAGTTGTAGATCACTGATAAATCTTTCTCAATTTTGGTGATTTATCAAATGATATATTTTGATGAATATCATTCAAGTCTAAAATGACTGGATATATAAAATGAAACTTTATGATCAACAATTAAAACAAAATTGAAATTCTAAGGGAATATAAAATTTTTCCTGTTTTTTTTGTCCTAACAATGTCTCGCAACAGTATTTTGTTAATTAAAAGCTTAAAAAAATATATAAAATCCAAATATTTGAAATTTTTTAATGCTCCAATTTGATATTATTTAGTAAGTTCAAAGTTTCCTGCAACTTGGTCAAATATTTTCACTATGAATTTTTACTGGTGTTAACTACCATTTCCTGCTGTCATTTATATTGACACAAATTATCAAGGCTTTAATTTGATATCGATATGAATTTTTACCTGCTTTTAAAGCAGGCCTCGACAAATCCCAGGTGCCAGGTTGCCGACTAAAAATTTCATCATCTCGCCTAATAGTTTGTCTCATTTTAATTGTGTGTTGTGCTATGCTAAATAGAACTCGAATCTAGAACAGTTCTGGACTCTTGGAAGTCCGGAACTATTTTTGCATTCTCTGAGCCCTAAATCAAACTTTGTTTCTAGGGTTTTATAGACTGATTCTGCACTTCATGTTTTTCAGGAATGAAGCACTGCGGTTGCACAACACATTTCTAATTTTGCACCATTTTGTTTTTCTTCTTTCTCTTAATTCAAACAATAATTGCACATGTTTAGACTCGGAATGAACCAAAGACAGTTAGTTCAGGCAATACTGCTAAGTGGTTGTTGATATCATATGATAGTATGCACTCGTTGCTGTGAAAGTAAATAAATATACACTGGTGCTTTGATTATTTGCACTGGTCCTGGGGAAGTAAATACTTGCAGATAACAGAAACAGCAAATAATCAAGGCACTAGTGTATCTCACTCGTTAACCCATTGTTTAATCTAAAAATTTTTAAATATATTTAAGTTCCTTGTTTTAAATCATATTCTTTTTACTGTTGTTTAATCACATTATCATGAAAAGTTATAAAAGTTGTCATAATAATAAAAGCCAAGTGTCAGTTGGGCACGCTCGATTTCTCCAAGTGATGCGAGTTACACTAGACCAATTCCACTTTTTCTCCTATAATACTTCCTCTTTTGATTGCCTGTTCCCATTTTAGTTAAATTTAATCGCTAATGTAGGCATAAATAAATCCTAAATTTTAGAACTTTTTCTGCTATATACATGAAAGTGCATTCACACCCTATCAATGCTTGTGAAAAATAAGTCAAACACTAGCACAAGTCTGTGCTTGGGAATTATTACGAAAAAGCCTTTGTTAAAACAGATTGAAGATATCAGTTATCTGTAGGGAAGAGGACAATGCATAACTGGGTGACACCCCAACACAACCTGAACATGCATCTGTGGTTAAAGGACACCTGCCGTGCTGCATACAACAGCAGATGACAACTGAAGTTGAGTGAAATCTTTAAGAAATCTTAATGTGTATTTTGTGCATTTTTGTATACTATGTTTTTAATCACTAATCAAATAAAGTTAACCAAGTTCCAAATATTTTGTATTTGTATCTTAACAGGTAAAAATAAGAGGCAAGGCTAGGCTTGAACTGGCCGACATACGATTTGAAAGCCTGCCAGATCCTGCATGCGAAATCCGCGGATATCATCCAACACCTGAACTTTTGCAACAAAAATTAATTTCTGAGCGACAATTTCTCCAAAGCATGTAAATTATTGTTTAGAATTGTAATGGCACAAATATTTTGAGAAAATTTGGGGAAAAGAAAAACTATGGATAATCAAGGATTGCGGATAATGGATGCGCGGATAATTGAGGCACTAGTGTAGCTTCATTTCCTAGTATAAACAGTAGTGAAGTTAGGTTAGGCGTACCTGGCTCCTGAGATTTGGGGCTGGTTCCTAGATCTGAAAATATTTTTCGAGGCCTGGTTTGAAGTTACTTTATCCTTTGTTATTATTAGTAACATAAATCATGAGATGGAATTAGTGTTATAAATATATGTGATTATTAGACTTACACAAAATATTATTATTATTTAGAATCGCCAACTAGGAGCAGTTTTGCTGAGAAGAGTTATATCTGGTGATTTTGAGAATTTTTTTCCAAAGTTGAATCTTGAGTCTCAAGCTCAAATTAAAAATCAACTACTTTTGACAGTTCAGCAAGACTTATCACCTCAATTAAGAAAAAAAGTTTGTGAAGCTGCATCAGAATTAGCAAAGAACTTAATTGGTATGTCTTGCCTTACATGTATTTATTTTAACTATAATCTGAGTCACAGGTAACAAAATAAAAAAAAGTTTGAAAAAGAAGATAGCTTGGTCTTTAATGTGTTTTGAATTCTTGTGTTGATGTAGTTTTTAACAGTTTTTGTTTGTTGTATAATCTTCATATCACTTGTTGCCTTATTATTGTGGTGTATGATTTTTCTTGAGCACCATCACTTTCCTAAGTTTGACCCATTTGTTACATATGACATAACTGTACAGTTAACCTATTTAAACAAAAACCTTCAAACTCAATAACAAGATGACACTAGCAAATTCATCTATAAACAACATACTCATTGCCACAAAACAATGCTAACTTAGTAACTGAATACACCTTTGCATATTTTGTTCTTGTGGTAATACACAATTTCTGACGCTAAAGTAAAGTTTCAGTCAGTGACTCGTTTTCGAGAGGGTAGAACTATTGATAAGTACTTTCATTCAAAGTTGGTTGTATTTGAAACAAATTAAACTAAATGCCTGATAAAGGAATTTTTATGATGAAGTTTTAATATTTTTTTTATAAATTTGTAATTGTATTTATTGTAGGGGACTAAGTGTTTGGAACTTAAAATGGTATAACTATTGTTGTAAAGTATTGTGCTAACTAATTTGATTAGAATATAAACATTAGATGAATGGTGAAATTCATAATTGTGTTCACTTTAAAAACATTATTTAAGAATTATTGTAGCACATGTTGATACTTGAGTTGTTTAAAAAACATCAGAAACAAGTAATTCAACAGGTTTAATAAACAATTTGAATAACATCGTGGATTACATTCAATTACATTATGATGGTGGTGAATGAAAGGCAAAAAGTGTTAGATAAAAATGTAAGATTTACAATTAATTTGTTTTCTCACAGTTTAATATGCATGAAACCTAATAATTTTTAAACTAAGTTAATATAGTTTAAAGAATTCAAAGAAATGTAACATCAAAAGTTTGATTGTAATCTGTAGATTAAAATAGTAAATATCTAAAGCTTTGGATTTTTAAAAAAGCTTTTCATAAAAAGGATTCGTAATATCTTGAACTCAGATTAATTTTATTACTTAATTAACTTAAAGTTGGAGGGTTGAATTATAAATTTTAAGACGTATGTGCCATTTAAGGAAATCTTTCAACATATTTTTTATGGATGATGACTTCATTTCTTGTACATAGCAGTCTTTAATACACAAAGGTATAGTATCTTCATCTGAATGCAGCACCACATAGTTCTAGAGAAAATGGTCAGTTTTTGTATTATTGTGAATGTTATGTAAAATTTAAAAGTAAAAAGGCATTCTTCATATGAGTTAAGTAAAATTGGGGTAAATAGTCTGAAATGTGTAAATAATTTCTGAAAAAACAGTAATGCAGTAATGACTAGTTATATTTTTGCTAGCCTGGTATTCATTTTCTCGTGTATTTTCCAGATGAAGATGGAAACAACCACTGGCCAGAATTTCTTAAGTTTTTATTTGACTGTGCAAGCTCCCAGAACTTGGTGTACAGAGAAGCATCTTTACAAATGTTTACGTAAGTTTTAGTTAAATTGCAAGGTGTATTATTATCTTAGAAACCTACAGAACAAAATAAACTGAAATTTTACTCCTTGATAGTGTGAACATATAAAAATCCAATGTATAAGACAAATATATATACTTAAACCTGTCAAAGATTTATATCTTGCTTTTAAATTTATCAATATTCAAAATTGAAAGCTATAAGCTGTGTGTGTGTGTGTGTATAATACATATATATAAATATATATATGTGCATGTGCCACGTGTAGTTTCTGCTGTCAGACATAATTGGTAAATTTAAAATTTAAATTGTTTTAAATTTATTTAAACCTTTTTTTTTAGTTCATAATATTTATAATGGGACTTAGCTTAATTCTCCAATCTTTATTATGGAGAATTATTAGATTACTAACAGATGTCCGTTGAAGTAATTTAACAGTATTTTTCCTGCAAGTAGTGATGAATAAACATAAAATGTGCAGTCAACCCAATACTTGGATCAGATTGTATATGCAATATGATTGCCTAGTGGGCTGTTTACAACAGTCTTTTGTCACTCTATGTGTTGTTTCAAAAAGAAAAATTGTATTGTTTTTGTTTTTAAGCAAAGGAGACTGACTGCAATGCATTGTTGGCAGAAATATTTGGGTTTTGATGCAATGGGTGCATCCAGCACAATAGTGTTAAGGTTTGCTTAGTAGCTGTGGGGATTTGTTGCAATGGATGCCACTGTTCTTTGTCATTTTAATGAGTGCTGGAAAAAACTGCTATCAAAGTGAGCATTTTTAACAGTTGTCATTTCTATAAGAAGTGTCAAAGGTGAGATATTCACTTCAAATCTATTTATTCGACTTGGTACAATAAAATCATGCATGTGTATGGTACCAACATGAAAAAAAACAACATATAAACCGATCAATAACAGATATATACTCAAACATGTTCCTCTCTCTATGCATTTTTTTCTGTTCATGTTTCTATCTTCAAAATATTTCTTTCTATCAGTTGATAGAAGAAGCCCCCTTTTTTTTGGTGCAATTCCCTCACTAAAAAAACGTTTTTGTTCTTAATAATGTTTTTACTCAGATTGATCATTGAGCATATATGAAGACTGACGGATTGATGTTGATATGTAATTTTAGGAATTGCAAAAATGAATAATTGTTCTGTATATATATTCTTGAAAAGAAGCATTTTGATATGTAATTATTTTTCTATGATTAACTGTTCAGGAGATAGAGTATGACAGACAGACATTTGACTATCATATATATATATATAGATTAGTATTAAGGTTTTTGTTTATAGAAGTTTAGGACAAATTAATTATTTCATGATGTTAACAAGTAGTATATAGAGGGCTGAATATGTTATATTAAAAGAACTTTGATTATGCAAGTGACCTGATATAAAGTCACTGTGGAACGGCATGCATCAAAATTACACTTTTACATTGTTTAGCATTTCGTAGGTGATTTGATGTCACTGAAAACTGAACATTTTAACAGTCATTTTCTGGTGCAAGATATTCATACACTTAAATCATAAAGATATGTATTTAGTAGCATTGGAAAACAAAGGAATATGTATGAACTTGGAGCACCAGGACTTCTTGGAAAGACCTGCAAGAAGTCATACTCCAGCAATGGTAAAGTGCAGCTTCTTGTACCATGTGAGAATCCTCAAACACAAGGGTCAGTGGAAAAACCATCCATGTGCCCCAAGCAACAGTGTGAAACATAATCAAGAAGGATCTTCATCTGTAAAAGACACAAGTTGTGTGTTTACAAGTTACTTTAGTGATATATCCAGGAAAGGAGGACCATCTTTAGAAAATTGTATGAATGATACCTATTTGTGAAGAAATGGCAGTACATGGTGACATTTAATAACTTGATAACTATAACAAGAGCAGATACAAAGGTCAAGGTAAACTCTTATTTTATCAGACCAATATTTTGGGCATTTTTTACTATACACAAATACTGGCTTAATATATAAATGTGGCAAACAGGGTGTATGTTCACCAAGATAAGTCTTCCAGTGATACTTCCTGTTCAATGGTGACATACCTCCAACAGCCGGAGAATGAAATGGGTATTCATGTTACTTCATATGAAGACATGCAAGTCAATTGTCAAATTTCTGTGTATTCATGCTGTTGAAATAGCCACTGGGAAACTGTTGTCCTTTTAAACTAGATGGATGATGGGAAGCATGCAGGGAGAAATTGTATGCTTTGGACACAAATGCCTTACGGTTGTCAGGTAGAGCATGAAAGAACTAGGTGCTATGTTGAGTCTCCAAAATCATGTTAATATAAAGTACTTAACCTCTGTAGATTATTCCCAATTTTTCAAACATGTAGATTTAAATAACAAACTGGTTAAGTTTGGATGGAAAGATGTAATACATCTCTCATATCTAGGAAGCTTAATGATCCTGAAAATATTGCTGTTTATTATTTTATGCATTCATTTATATGTATGAGAGCAATGAAGCAGGATATGTAGATAGGAACATTATTCTGCACTAAAACTGAAAACACACATACTTGCTTAATCAATGCTAAAAATATGAGTTCTGTTTGAGAGACATAAGCCAACATGCAGGTCTTATTAAAACATTAACTTGGTTGAAGGCAAGAGCTAAGATATGTTTTTACTCTGTATTATTTATATTGCCTTAAATTGCATAGCAAAATAGTGAGTGCTAATTTATTTTCACAAATTTGTGTTGATATTTTAGAATGTGCTACAAACTTTAAACTTTTGTTTTCATTGACTTTTATCTTGGTACTGTTTGGACGCTTCACTCTAAAGCCAGTAAACACATAAATATGTTAAGAAGGTCATATTGAAATTATCTGTATTGAATAAGATGCGAGTGAGTGTTTTAAGTTTTTCAAATTCTGAACAGGGCTGTACCTGGTATTTTTGGAAACCAGCAGAACAGATACCTTGATGTAATTCGACAGATGCTCTTGCAGAGTCTTCAAGACCCAACAAATTTGAATGTAAGAGAATGTTTCAACTTCACTTTATCAATCAATGAAATGATAAAATATATGTATTTAGTAAAAAGGTAATTATATATCTGGTTTAATTTTGTTCAAATCTGGATGTATTTAATCTGTGTAAAGATTTGTACATCTTTTTAATTTTTATTGAAATATTATTCATGTTTAAATAAAGTAATAATTGATATATGGAAGTTCACTCACTTTTTCCCAATATTCAAGTTGTTACTTGTCACTGTCTTGCATAATTTAACAGTAAATAATTTCAAATTAATTTACTTGTCATTAGACCTATTGTATTTTCTGAACACTGCATTCTATATGCAGCCCTAAGGGACTTTCAAGAATTAGAAGATTGTACAATAATAGTATTTCAACCATACTATGTTTGCCATATGCATTACCGATGATGAATTTTGCTCAATCCAGAGCTCGTCTGGCAGGCTGGGACACAAACACAGTAGTAGTCGGAGCACTATATATATATATAAACCATTTATGATATCATTTGTTGTGGTGTAAATGTCTTTTTGAAGCTGGTGAAGCATGATTATAATTAACTTACTTGTCATTGGACATTACTGTTAGGCCTATTATGTTTTTGAAACCCTTCATTTATTCCATAACAGTGTGATTGTTTCTTAGTTTAGTCTTTTATCAGCTGTGATTCTTTCCTCTCAATTTTTATGATGATGTAATAAGCTTTTGCATTTTTCCTGTGAATGTTACTAAATTGAGTAAATATTTGTATAAGATGTGGATGAAGAAGATAAAAAAACAAATCTGTGGCAGTTCTTCTCTTGATAAATATTACTTTATGTAGTAAAAATAAAGTTCACTGTCATTCCATTCACTTGTCACCGAGTTATACTTTTTTGGAGAATTCCATCCCTCGTTAGTAATCTTGGACAAAGGCAAGTTGAAAGAACAAGATTAGGCTTTAAATAATGATAGTGTGTGTATAATATGTATGGTGTTTGAAGTTGTCTTTTACTGACCACAATGAAATGTATAGAATTGAAGAATAAGTAGCATTAATGCTACTAATTTATTCTTATGAATTGTTCTGGAAACAAGCTGTTTAAAACACTAAAAATGAAGACCATTCTGTCATTTTATTAACCACTTTTCACTGAGTTAATGAATTAGGAACATCTTACAAAAGGCCTCCTGGCTGCGAGATGTTATTTTTATACACCTCTGGTTTTAAACCTGTAAGGATTAATTAAGAGGAATGTGGATAAAACATCTGCAGTTAAGCATTATATTTATCAGAGATATTACTCCTAATGCATATTATGCATAGTTTTATTTTACCAGTTGTGATGCATCTACATTATTTCTGGTTTGCATAATGGAAAATAGATAATGTTTTTTGTATTGGCCTTGAGTTTTCTATGGACTGCAAATGCTGAGGAGCAGAGGCACAGAAGTATCATATAACTATTCTGAACAGATGCAGTCCTTAGAAGCTTAAACACAGAATATGTTCTTGACTATTTTTTGTAATGTTCAGGTTTTTATTTATTTAGGTTTCAAACCTATGTTGCTCAGTTTTATTAATTAAGTATATAGGGTTAATAACTGAATGTAACTTGTTAATAAGTTACATTCAGTTATTACCCATAGTGTATAATTGATATTTTGAAGAAAAGAAATTAGATCGTGAATACATCAGTGAGATTTTTGTACATATTCATGCCTGGGTCTTGAATGTTCATCAAATAGATACATGATTGTAATTATTGAAGATCTTTTATCGTTTTTGAATCTGTAATTTCTTATTTTCCTTTTAGGTTCGCTTAGCTGCTGTTAAAGCTACAACAGCTTTTTTAGTAGCTCACGAAAAAGAACACAACATTCAGAAACACTTTATAGATTGTCTCCTACCTCTTTTACAGGTACAGAGCTGTTTTTTAACTTGTTTTGATAAAATTTCATTGAATGTTTAAAACAATTACTTTATTTACTGGAATTTGTTGATGTTTATAGCTTATATTGGTAATAATATTACAACTCTGTATATTAATTGAAATTTTGAATGTTCTCTATAGTAAAAATTTTGAAAACTTGAAATAAAATAAACGTGAAAGTACTTGTCATGTATTTGCTTGTTCTTTTCTTCTTATCTTTATGTTGTATATTACATATTAATTACAAGATTAGTAAAAATTATTGATTTAAAAAGGGGGAATAGGGATTGTAGAAAAAGTACAGAAACAAGTTGAATCAAAATGCAAGGGTTATATTTTCAACTCTACAACCAGGGACTCTTAACAAAAGTAAACAAACTAGGCTGGAAATAGTGCCTACATTATTTTCTCGAGTTACAAATCCTTATTTTGACTCCATGTATACAGTGCTTATCAATTTTAGTGGAGTCAAAATAGGAATTTGTAGCATGACAAAATAATGTAGATGCTATTTCCAGCCTAGTTTGTTTACTTTTGTTAGAGTCCCTAGTTGTAGGCTTGAAATTACAATCTTTGCAATTTGATCCAACTTGTTTCTGTACTTTTTTGACGATCTCTATTCCCCAGTTTTAAATTAACAATTTTCACTAATCTTGTTTTTTAAGTTTTTTTTATGTCCAATTGTGGAGAGTAAATTTTAAGCTACATATATATATATATGTACATGTGCAGTCAGTTCAATGTTACATGTTTTTCAACAGTTTACTGCTGCATTGGCTTTTCTTCCATCCAACCACCAGACTGAACTTATTCAAAATAAATAACAAATGTACAACAAAGAATAAACACATGTATTAGTATACAATTGCAATAAACAAAATGTAAAGGACCATCTTGAAGGCAAAGATTGTATCATCATGGATTTAATGACTGGCTTCCATCAATGTTATAGTGTAATGTAACAAACCAATCTCATTAGAACAGAATAGTGTTTCTTATAAGATAATACAACACAGATTAATGCAATGTAAAAAGACTCGGTAACATGCTTACCTTGTTAGGTCTTCATGATACATATATGTTTAACAGCCTGCTTTACACAAGTACTTGCTAGAATAAGGCAACACAAATAATACTTATAAAATAGACAACAGCGATACACTTAGCGTAAGTCACCAATTATGGACAACTTTCACAACTGCTACCTTAATACCAGCTATTTAATAATAGCAATAGTTATAATGCTATATATAGTGGTAATAACTCTTGAATATACACTCATGATTTCAGCTAAGTATAAGAAACAGTAGAAAAAAAAATCACCACCATCGTCTAAGTAGGGAAATATGCTATCGTAATTGTCCACTGTTAAAAACTTGGTGAAATATAGTTGCAAAATCCACGTAGAGACAGCAGACTTGAGTAGTGATGAACAAGAGAGACATGAGTAACGATATGCAGCAGCAAAATCAGGAACCTTTCACACGGCAGTTTCCAATTAATGCACTACAAAATGTACGAGTTGTAGTTTCCAACAAATGTGCATGCTAGGAAAACACTGGATTTGTTTTATGGCAGAAGATGAAGGACTTTGAACATTTTGCAGTATGACACAATTAAGGATATGGAATAAAGTTTAAAAGTACTCTCTTGGTTTTTTGAAAAAGTCCTGTAGATATCACTTGCAATAATTTTATAGTGCAGTCATAATAGGGATTTGTAGCTTGAACAAACTGTCAGCAGTAGATCTCAAGCCTTGTTTGATTACTTTTTTTTTTTGATCCCTATTTGTAGATTTTAAAATCACAATTTTTAACTATCTTGTATGTAGGCTTTGTTAATGCACAGCAATGGGTAAATATATATCTAAGCACATATAACATTTTACCAGTATAAAAGCAGCCTTTTCATAAATAAAGCTTCGTGTCTCTTAAAGTAATTATTTACTGAGCTAATTGGCTTTGTGCCCGAGGTTTCATGTAAATGCGTTTAACACGTGTTGAGTACAAAGACAGTTGCTTATAACATCATATCTATTATGTATTTATAACCACTTAAATCAACTTTCAGTAAAAAATATTCAACTTTTAAATAGGTCATGGACATTACTGGTGTTGTATATAGTAAATCTGTATGTTTTAGTGCAAAATACCCAGCTGATTTTGCTGTAGGCTTATGAAACAATAATAATATGAACAAATGGGCAAATTTTGATTTTGTTTGACAATCATGAAATCACTTATTTTGCTTATTATCAATGTTTGGGTGGTCTTAACTATTGAATAGAAAAGTTTTTGAGTGCTGGTTCAAGAATAAGTCTGCTTGTTAAGGTGGTTTTGGCCCAAATGTTCTATTAGAGTTTTGAGCAAATTCCTATACAATCCCTGTTATGAACCACTATTGTAGTTCATGATGCATCAGAAAGAAAATCACTTCCACGTTTGTTTAAAATAGTTTTGTACTATGTAAAATAAAATAAGTTAGTTGTTAAACAGTCTTTCCTTAGCATAATATATCAATATAATAATTATATATATGTTTTAAATTTCTAAAATATTATTATTGCACTTAATTACCTATATGTATTGTAATGCTGTTTTTTACAGGTTTTACAGCAAAGTTTGGAGCAGAAAGATGATGATGTTGTTTTACGAAGTTTTGTTGACCTAGCAGAATCATGTCCACGGTTCTTACGTAGTCAGCTAGATTCACTTTTACAAACGTGTTTGAAGGTACCAAGTTTTAACTAATTGGGACAAGAGTTACATAACTTTCAGTTGTGCTGAATGAACTGACCATCAAAAAGTAACAATACCTGAAATGATTTTGAAAAAGGTTCAGAGTTTTTTGGTTTTGACCAAACAGGAAAATATTGTTTTATTTATGGATTATGGGGTGCAGTTACTACTGTGTTTATAAAACGAGTAATTTATCTCAACAAAAGTTTTATTTTAAATACACATTAACTTTTACAGGTATTCCATATAACTCTTTATTTTATATAATTAGTTTTCAGAGCACAAGTCATCACCCATAACTGTTCTCAGCCCACAAACTAAAAAGTTAGATAATTTTGAACTTCTTTACAGTGTCATAAAACAACATTTTAAAATTTTTTTTATGATGATTACTGTAATTTTTTACATTAATCAGAATAAATGAATATACAATTAACTTTTTCAGTGCTGTATATGGAAAGACTTAGTGTTGTTTCTTCTTAACGAAGTAGAATTTTTTACTTTTTTGTGAATTTGTTAATATTTTTTCAATCCACGAATCTCTCCAGAATTTTTTAAGGCTTCCCGTGCCACAATGATGAGATTGATTCCTTATTTCATGCTTGTAAGCTTCTTTTGTGAATTAAAACTTTATGTAGCATAAAGAAAACATTAACAATTTCATAAGGTAATTTTTTATTTTATGATTGATTCTCGCATACTTTCGTAATAAAACCACATTTGGGAGGGGGGAATGTATTAAATATTTCTGTAAGAAGTTGCTTTGTAAGACTATGGGTTCAGTGCATTCAGTTATTTCACTGGATTCTTCAAATTCTTTGTTCTTGCTGAAGAATATTCCTTTGTTCAATTTCTAATTGAGCTTTGTTTGTTGTGGTTGAGATACGAGGTAATTTGGTTAGAAAAAGAATTCTAGCTGCTTTATTTGTAATGTCCATCTTAATCTTGTTGCAAGGGGCATTATCAGCAGATAAAAAAATTACCTTTTTGAAAAATCATATTGAAAATATTATTGTATTACATTGTTAGTTTGTTTTTTCTTTAATGGTTTATTTGTTTAGTTGATATGTTATGTAATTTGTATTAAACCATAGACTACTTCATATTTATGTGCTCAGAGTTATAACGATAAAATTACTGTTAAAACATTAAACCAAACATGAATAAATCTATCATAAAATTATTAATTTAATAGATATTAATGAATTCACAATAAAGTGTTTAGATTTTTTAATAAAATAATATCTAAAATTCAAGGGGTACGTTTTAAAAACATTATATACAGTTTACCTCAAGCTATTATGATTATTTGAAAAATGGAACTTACATGATATTTTGTTAGACTATTTCAGAAGCTGGAATGAATGACTCATGGCGCCATCTGGCTTTAGAAATTATCGTAACTCTTTCTGAAACTGCTCCTGCAGTGATGAGAAAAGTTGCAACTAAACACATTGCACAGTTAGGTTAGTTGATTCTTTCTAATACTTTATGTACAAAATAGTTCAGATTTTATATGATTAAGTAGTTGAATTTTAATGAAAGTTTATTCTTGAGTGTAATTATAAATCATTTATTGTACACTAGTTCCTTTGGTCTTCAATATGATGATTGATTTAGAGGAAGAGGAGGATTGGGCATTTTCAGAGGAAATATTAGATGATGACAATGACAGGTAAAATTATTAGATTTTTTTTGTATGTATAAATATTAACTTTTGCTATATGCTTTAGTAAATTTTG